TAATAAGGGCAGGGGGATTTTGGACAAACAAGCTTACCAGTAGTTTTGTAAAGACAGGCCTAGGTGATCAGATATAAAGCTGGGGGCAAGGAACTTGATCACATATGAAAGGTGGGAGGATGACTTCGGATTCTTACAATAATTGGTCTAGGCAGGACAGTGACAGGGCCCAAGGAAGGATCTTAGTGAAAACAGGGCTCAGAGAAGCCTGTTTGAAGTTTGGTCCAGAGAGAGTCTTTGTCAGTAGTTAATTTAGAAGCTTGATCAGTGTGCCCGGCTAGCTCAGCCCGTAGAGCATGAGACTCTTAGAAGCTTGATCAGATTTAAGTTTGTTATTCTTTGGTCCTTTTTTGTTGTTGTTTGTTGCTGGAGGGCAAGGCTACTTCATAGTGGTGTAGTGTCCTTGCATCAGGAGGTATATAATACGCGTTTAGGCTGTTTCCAATTCAAATTACATGGTTTTATTTAACCTCTTTAACTTTGTATTACTGTTGACTCTAAGTTTCTTGATGGCAGAGAACGTATTTCACCTTTGGAGTATTTTCCACTTACATAGATGTAGTTATTTTTTCAAGAAACTTCATGCTTTGCTATATTTAAAGTATTTAAAAGAAACCAAATCTCTAAAATCACAGTATCTAGAGGCAATGCCATCAACTTTGGTAAACATCCTTCTAGACCCCTCTTTATGAATATATTCCATAGGACTGGATGTGAACATATGGAGACACATGCAGCCACTTAAAAATGTATGTATGTTTACCTAATAAAACCACAGCATAAAGAGTGTTTTATATTCTGCTTTTCATTCAGTGACATTTCGGGGAGGTATTTTCTTTTCAGTACATTTAGATACATTATTTAAATAGGTGAATGATATTATAGTTTATTCAATCAATTTCCTCCTGTTGGACAGCTATTATTTTAAATTTTAAAATTGAAGTGTAGTCAATTGCAGTGTGTCAGTTTCTGATGTACAGCATAATGTCCCAGTCGTGCATATATATGCTTATATTCATTTTCATATTCTTTTTTATTAAAAGTTATTACAAGATATTGAATATAGTGCTATACAGAAGAATTTTGTTTGTAGTCTATTTTTATATACAGTGGTTAACATTTGCAAATCTCAAACTCCCATATTTGTCCCTTCCCACCCCCTTTCCCTGGTAACGTTATGGCTATGGACATTTATTATTTTAAAAGTAACTTGCTTTTAATGAATAGCACTACATTAAACATACTGTGTAGCTCTCATTTAAAAATGATTTTTATGGACATATTATGTGTCCTTAGCTTGGCATTATTAAGAGTTCTCTTGACTTTGGGGGGGTATCTGTGTTTTCTTGGAGGATTAAAAATTGTAGAATTTATTATTAAACTATAATAAAGAATAGTCATAACTTACCAGATACAGTTCCCTTCTTGCTCTCCACTCCCACCCCCACTCCCATCACATAAATAAGAACTGTTTTTTCTTTGCAGTATGCATTGCCTCAGGAACAAAGGTGGCTCTGTTTAATCGACTTCGATCCCAGACAGTTAGTACCAGATACTTGCATGTAGAAGGAGGTAATTTCCATGCCAGTTCTCAGCAGTGGGGAGCATTTTACATTCATCTCTGTAAGTATAAAAATATGCATTTGATGTTTTTAGTGAGAAATTGTTAAATTTTTTTTGATAGAAAGACATACAAATATATTAAGTTTTGTCATTTTCCTAAGCAGATTAGTGAATTCTAATAGATGATAATTTGATCTCTGTTTCCATTGTACTGCAGTGGATGATGATGAATCAGAAGGAGAGGAATTCACAGTCCGCGATGGATACATCCATTATGGGCAAACGGTCAAACTTGTATGTTCAGTTACTGGCATGGCACTCCCAAGATTGGTATGGCTCTACTTTTTTTAGTGATATATGTAGTAAAAATTAAGAAAACAGAAAAGTCACAACATTCAAATGTAAAAATACACCTCAATTTCATGCTTTTTAATTTAGAAAGAATATATCAATAATCATTGCTGTTTATCATTGGGAATTATAGCCCACCTTATTTAAAAAATGCTTTAAAGCAATTACTCAATTTTTATCAATACATTCTTAATGACTTCCTGTTATACTATGTTTAATAAATTTTGGTTGTATATTAAACATGTTTGATAGAGGGCACTATAAAATTGCAATATGATTTATGATTTCTTAACGCAGATGCATTACTCATTTTTTGTGGTACCTGCTGCATCCCAACATAGGACCAGGTTTTCAAAAGCATAGAAATTTTAAATTTCTTTAAAAATACAAGCATAATTTTTATTAGTTTACTCTCCCACAAGAAGATAGATTTAAAAGTTAAATAAAATTGGTATCTTTTTTACTCTTGGAGAGAGGCTTAGTGGTTAGGGCTTTTTGAAACTAAAAACAAAAAAAAACTGCTTTTCTTAGCAAAATGAAGCAAAACCCCTTAAACACCCTCTACTGTATTCCCCCTCCTTTTCTGAAACAGAACACGATGTAGTTGTATTAAAGATGGAGGGGATTTATGAGTAAGTTTGATTCGAGGTCAGTGTTGAGTGAACAGAAGATCATTTAGCTTTACTGTTCCTGAATATGCTTTGTATTTATCTCTTTGATGGAATATTTCATTGGCTGATGTTTTCTGGGACTATTACAGCAGTACTGGGTTGACCTATAATTAATCTAAGTAAATGCATCATTTTATTTTTGTTTTGTTATATTTTTCTATGTCATGGTTGTACAAGGTGATTTTATTTCCCATTTCAACTTAATAAGCCAAAATATGTGAAACGTAGTAATATTAAGTTATAAAACCTTGAAACTAAAACAAATTATAAAAAGAGGAAAGGTAGGGAAAGAAGGGTGTAAAAATTGGAAAGAAAAACAAATCAAAGCAACCTCTGCTCTAGTTTTTCTCTTCTCATTCATTCTGTGTCATTCTATTCTAAGGACAATAATGTTTATTTGCTTTGGCATTAAATGTTTGTGCTACAAAAGCACAATTCAGAGGTTATGCCTGTGATCAGCAACAGCCTATATATGGACCACTTAGAAGACAGACTCAAATCTTAAAATAGTGTTTTCACTTACAGTTTCATGTAAAGTACCAATCTGCCTTGCTTGAAAGTCCTCTTTATTTGAATATTTTAACATTCAAATCTATGTGGCTCTGAGTATAAAAATACTGCAATAAAAAAAAAGGACCCAGAGAATGCCTTAGGGAAAGTTGCAGTACCATTATTAACAATGTACTGATAACCTTCTATGTGCCAGGCACTGTCTGGATGCTGGAGATACATTGGTGAGCAAGGTAGACTTCCCTTCCTCTTGGAGCTTACGTTTTGGTAGTATGACAGACAAAAACCAGCTACAGAAATACCCATGTAATGCACTAAAAAGGTTAATGTAAGTGATAGGAAGACAAATTAAAACAGGATAAAGGGATGGGGAGTTGGGGGACTGCTTAGAGTGGTCAGGGAAGCCTTTTGGAAGTAGGGCTCTTAGAACAGGGACCAGAATGAAGCTGGGAAACCAAAAAGTGGGTGAGGAACATTCTAGGCAGACAGAATGAGGACAAAAAGAACTTAAGGTGGAAGGGAATGTGTGAAGACTAGCAAGGAAGCCATTGCTAGAGCCAGGGGAGGGATGGAGGGGCAGGTGACAGGAAACGATGCCGCCAGGTTAGTCGAGGGCAGCACCTTGTCGAGTCCCTCTCTGTATCTGGGGTAAGGACTTTACGTTATCTGTGTGTGGTGAGAGACCACTTGGGGGGTTTTAAACAGGGAATGATGGCTGGTTTGTGCTTGGTAGAATAATCCTGGCTGCTCTGTGGACAAGACAGCATAGAGATAAAGCAGTGGAAGCAGAGGGGAAGGTGGTGGGGCTTTTGTCATAAGTCAGGCAGGAGGTGATATCTTAGACTGGGATTGTACTGGTAAGGTGATGAGAGGTGACTGATTTGTTTGAAAGCAGACTAACAGAATTTGTTGACAGATTGGATGTAAGAGAAAGCAGGGAGTCTAGGATAACTCCAAGGTTTGGAAATTGAGTGAATGTGGTGTCATCTATTGAGCTGTGAGTTGAGGGAGGATCACGTTTAGGAAGAAATCAAAACTTCTGTTTTTGATTAAGACTGGGAGGCCTACTAATAGGCAATTTTAGTGAAACTGTTGAATAGGTAGTTAAATATATAAGCTGAGTGCCCGAGAAAGGCTATGGCTGGAGATAGAAATTTAGAAGTTGCTAGCCTTTGAAGAGTGTAGCAGGTATGGGGTGTGGAGAGAGAAGAGGCCTGAGGACTTGACTCTGGGCCACTAAAGGCCAGTTACAGCAGGTGTATCCCTGGAAGAAGAACGTGTGGGTCAGATGCTTCTGAGAAAGCTAGTAAGAATGAAGACAGGAGTGCCCGTGGGATTCATCTGTCTTGAAGTGCTTAGTGGCCTCGCCAAGAGCAGTTGCAGTGGAGACTTTGAGACAAAAGGCTGGAGATTTCAGGAGATGGGGCGGTAAAGAAGAGGAATTTTTCCACAAAGGGGAACGAGAAACAGGGTGGTAAGAGGGAAGGGCACTTACGTGTAATCATGGAAGAGTTTTCTTTGCTTTTGATTTGATTTTTTTTAATTAATCTTTTTTAGGGGGGAGGCAGTTAGGCTATTTGTTTATTTATTGGTGGAGGTACTAGAGATTGAACCCAGGACCTCACTTATGCTGAGCATGCGCTCTACCACTGAGCTACACCCTCCCCACCCTGCTTCTGATTTTAGAAGAGAAATAGTTGTAACGTGTTTGTATGCTGTTGGGAGTGATCTTCATAATCATCAAACACTCACATGATTACCTTCCATGTGATAAGTAACATCTAAGGTTTGATAGGATGATCTCAGATATCCATATGTGTTTTGTGGAATATATGGATTGTAAGGTCATAGTGTGTAATGGAGAGAGCTCAGGCCAGGCGGGCAGCCAGCACTGGAGTCATATTGTGGCCATTCAGCTACTAACCAGGTGATTTTGAGGAACTTACCTGACCTCTGAGCCTGTTTCCCAATCTGCAAAATGATACCTATTAGAGGTTTTTTTTTAAAAAACACATATAAGATAATAATGGACTGTCCTGACTAGCACACCCATAATGGCCTTCAGAGATAATTTTTCCTTTGATGTTGGAATATTTGTCAAGTATGTCTTATTGGAAAGGTCATCTGAACTTGCAGATCAAAATATGATTCATAGACCAACAGGATTAATATCAACTGGGAATTTGCTAGAAATGCAGACTGTCAGGCCCCACGTGTGGTCTATAGGATCAGAACAGATACATGTTTAACGGGAACCCCAGATGATTTGTATGGACATTGAAGTTTGAAAAGCACTGATACAGAAAACAAGTACCTGCCTGCTCTATTTTTTTTAGGAGTTCATTGAACAAAGTGACATTTCCACATTCTTAACATGCTTGACATCTCAAAGTGTTTTTTGTACCTAGCTTTGTTTGTAAATGCTTTTGTATATGTAAGTATATGACAGATAATTGTGATGTATTATTATATAGCATGTTCTTTCTGCATACTCTTGACAGTGAATGAAATGAAAACTCTCCATATGTGATGGCCTTTTCTTTTTTAATTGTTGAAATATAGATAATTAGGAAAGTTGATAAGCAGACTGCATTACTGGATGCAGATGATCCTGTGTCACAGCTCCATAAGTGTGCATTCTACCTTAAGGATACAGAAAGAATGTACTTGTGCCTTTCTCAAGAAAGAATAATCCAGTTTCAGGTATGTTTTTAAATTACCAGTGAAATCTAAAATGTGCGAACTATTAGGTTAGCAGCATATGGAAGCTCATTTAATGTTAACTGTACCCAAATACATCAAGCTGTGTTTAGGTATTTATCTCAAGTTCAAGGGTCCTTAGCCCAGATGTTCCTCAGACATGGCAGTCATCCTGCCTCAAGGAAGAACTCAAAACCATAAAGATGTTCTCTGAGAAACAGGAAACAAAAAACCCCTCAGATTATCCAAAAGTAGGTTTTGAATGTTCAGTGAATCCCCTGAGATTACATACAGATGACATTGTGTATAGATGCACGCATATTTTGGGGGAGGGTTTATAATTCGCATCGGATTTACATTGGGGGCCTTCTAAGATGGTAATGAAGACAGGTGTCAAGAGCTACTTTTTAACTATATTTACTCTGAGGGCTTTCACGAGGACGTTTATGACATGAACAAGTCATTTAATAGAAGTTATACTTTCCCGTGACACTCATTTGTGAATACCTGGAGACTTTTTCCAGAGAGATGGCCACACCCAGCCAGTCTCCTCAGCCCAGCCCTGGTGGTCTGGCCTAGGTGTTTGAAGGTAGGGGTAGAGGATCGTCAGTTAGCATCTTGGTTCCTTCCTGCTGAAAGTACGGAAGATTCCAGCTGATCTCTGAGCAGGAGGGGCTCTCATTCCCTCTTACTCTTAGGGATCCCTGAAGAGTTTTAAACAGCTGTTTATATCACAAATACTCATCTTTTATTAAAGAAATTATGCAGGTGCTGGTGTACTCTTAAGTGGTTACCCTGAAAGGCTGTATTGGTTTATAAAGATTTTTAATATATCACTGAAATATTTTGTATTAAAATAAAGCTGCTACCTGTATGTGAGGTTTGCATATTAATATTCTGCTTGCGTTGGCTAAGCACCATGTTTGGGAAGTTTTTTATAAATTTATACTAAGTTCTCTTCATGTTAATGCCAGTCTATGAGTGTTACTTTGGTAAAATTCTTACACTGCGATGTATATAAAACTCAATTTCTAAACATTCTTTTTTCATAAGGCCACTCCATGCCCGAAAGAACCAAATAAAGAGATGATAAATGATGGGGCTTCCTGGACAATCATCAGTACGGATAAGGCAGAGTATACGTTTTATGAGGGGATGGGCCCTGTTCTGGCCCCAGTCACGCCTGTGCCTGTCGTGGAAAGCCTTCAGGTGAGACCACTTATTCACTGACTTAGCCCTTTGCAGCCGCTCCCAGCTGTGATTTAGCATGGTTTCATTTCACAATAAATTAGATTTGTGTTACATATCATTTGTTGATTAAAAAAAGAAAATAGAAGGAGCATGGTTTTATGCAAGAAATTTAAATTTAAGTCAATTTGTATGTTATCTTGAGATATTTTTAGTTCACTTTGTCTTAATCATCTCATTTAATGGAAACATTTTAACTATCCATTTTCTCACAAAGTAGGTAGTCGAATGAGAAACTCATCTGTGTCCTGAATGAAAAATGGAAAGCTTTCGTAACATTGTTCTGATTTTCTGTGATTTGCAGTTGAATGGCGGTGGGGACGTAGCAATGCTTGAACTTACAGGACAGAATTTCACTCCGAATTTACGAGTTTGGTTTGGGGATGTAGAAGCTGAAACTATGTACAGGTACTTAATACAACTTTTTTACATCATCCAGAGTTTTTGATGGGGGCTGGGTATGTGAGATTCTTTCCTGATACTAATTTAATGTATTAAGCAACCTTATTTTAAGTTGCAGTTCTAAACTTTGCCTCGCTTTTGAGTGATCCCTGTTTCCTCCTCAGATGTGGAGAGAGTATGCTCTGTGTCGTCCCAGACATTTCTGCATTCCGAGAAGGCTGGAGATGGGTCCGGCAGCCAGTCCAGGTTCCAGTAACTTTGGTCCGTAATGATGGAATCATATATTCCACCAGCCTTACCTTTACCTACACACCAGAACCAGGGCCGCGGCCACATTGCAGTGCGGCGGGAGCAATCCTTCGAGCCAATTCAAGCCAAGTGCCCTCTAATGAATCAAACACAAACAGTGAGGGAAGCTACACAAATGCCAGCACAAATTCAACCAACGTCACGTCATCGACAGCGACAGTCGTGTCCTAACCGCCGTCCTTTGCCAGGACTCACACTGACTTAAGTGCTGCACAATGTTGACAGAAAAGGAGAGAGAAAAAAATGAACAATCTTTTGTGGTTTCTTGGGAAAACTTTTCATACCAGGTGATAATTACTATTCAGAAACCCCATTACCTACAAGTGCTGATTTGAAGTGCAGAAGCCACAGTAAAACAAACAAAAAAACCCATCAAAATGTACAAACTTTTGGAAATCCATTTTTTTTTCAGCTGTAATTTTTGTTTGGTTGGGTTTTGTTTGGTTTTGTTTAAATGGGCAAAAAAATAGAGATGTGGCCGGAGTAAAAGTTAATCAAAGTAGAAGACAAAAATCTAACAGTTTTCATGGACCAAGGAACTTGTATAAGCTTTAGTAAAAGGTACATTTTCACCATACCTTTTTTTATATCACAGTATATAGCACACCTTTGTTACCAAATAGGTGGTTCTCCCTGCCCCTTGGAGTTTTTTGCTCTTAAGTACATTCAGGTTCCAAGCCTGACCATGCTTGTTAATCTAATTACCATATTCTTCCAGGTCTTTTTGGTCTAAGGCTGGAACTGTTCTTTTTATTTTATTATTATTATTTTTTTAAAGCTGAAGTCTTATGACTTTTCATGGGTTGAAATTGTTTGGATTTCAGCAAGTCAAATCTTGTAAAGGCCTGCCTATTTTTTTTAAGATTATATGAAGTCTGTGCAAAAGCTTTAAAAAAAAAATGCCTCTGCCTTGCCTGCAGTACATGCAACATACGTTAACCTAGTCTCTATTCTCAGTCACCATTGATAGTTATTTCTCTGTGTTCCTTTTTTTTTTTTTTAATGTATTTATAGTGGTAATCCAAGAGGTTCTAACTTTTACCTGGAATTAAATGTGGCCATTTAGTCATTAATGAGTTTAATGGCATGGAACATGTTGATTTTTGCAGTGTTCCCTCCTCCTTTCCCCTGCAGAAATGTATCTTTGTGTTCCAGGATTTGTTCAGGTTTTTCCCCCTCCTAATCTTGTACATAACTTGTATTATGTGTAAGTTAAACATTTTATTTTGAACTTGGAATGTTTCCATGATTTCATTCAGCAGGGAGTTTTTCTGCCTTGTTGACATATAACAAAAAAATATCATGAGAAGTATTTGCTACCAACTGGTAGATGGTGCCCTTATTGTATAATGAGGAAAATCTTAGCAAAAGCATGCTTTTATTTACTTTTTTTTTGGTAGCCTAGGCCAAAACATCATTGTAACCCTAAAACAAGATGCTTTTACTAGATGACCAACTAAAATAGCTGGAAGACAGTACTTAAGTAACAGATAGTTGTAAGATTATAAAAATGCAAATATAATTTCTTTCCATCTCTCTCCCTGCCTTTTTTTTTGTCTTGTCTTCCCCAGTACTGAGTGTCTTTATAAATATCTCCTACTCAGAAAGCATTTCTTTTCATTCAGTTGAGATTCAGGGTTGTGTGCTGGCCGTGCGTGCTGGGCTCACCATTTTTATGTCACTTCTGTTCCTGCACTTCGGTTATACCTTTGTTCAGTTTCTTAGAAATTGCAGCAGACTCGTTGGGCTACATTTAGTACAGGAACCATGTGTGTAATGTTCAAGGACACGGTCTAGTCATGCAATCATCTTTCTTAGAGTAAAAACTACCTCTAGATTGTGGTAAGCTTTTACTGTCCCATAAAACAGGAGCCACAAGTACCTTAACGAATGCAAAACTGTAACTTCCTGCAGTGTTTCCCTACAGAAATGGTCTTTCTGGTGTCCTGGGCTATTTTGAAAAGTTTCCATCAGTAGACATTTTAAAACCTCACTGTTTGTAGCTTTTCTCCCCCTCAGCTTTGATGTCTTCAGCATTCATCCTTTTGCTCAGACTATGTCATTGTAAATACAGTTCCTCGCATCTTTAAATCGCTTTTCCCTCAGTTTTCAAGGGGGAGGTCATTTGTAAAACACGTTAGTGGTTAAGTCAAAGTTACTGTGCTTCTCTCTTTACTGCAAGCCTTTTAAATTACTCACAGGCCGTGTTATACTGTATATGGCCTTTCTCTCTTCAAGTCTGCTCTAGTCACCGGCTTCTCTCTTGTGAGCTAATCCTGCCTCATACTTTAAATCTGTTTCAGTGACCAAGGGCAGAATTCATTGTGGCCTTATCTTTCTTTGTTTTAACTGTTTACTGCTTTTTCCTGCAAACTTGTGTATTTCTGAGTAGTATTTATTCCTCTCTCTGTTGAGTCTGGAAGTAGTCTTTACACAGTGCTTTCTGTTCAGAGCGCAGAAATGTTTTCAGTGCTGTTGTACTTTGAATTGGCCACAAGTTTCCTTCACTTCCCAGGTTTTGTATTCAGTTACAAAATTGTATTTAATCAACTGATAGCATATGAGATGCTTTTGAAGAACAAACTATTCCATACCCAGATTGCAATTCAAAATAATTTTTCAAGTTTATGACTTTATTAAAATGAACTTTCGTTTGTTTACTGTTTAACTATATGTAGACCGTAACCCTTTTCTTCTTCTTTTTTTTTTTTGAAAAGTCCAAGAATATACTTATACAGGCATTTATCCCCACTATTTTATGCCATTCTACATACCATAAACTTAAGACTGAAATGATTTGTCTTTTGTGGCTTATTGTTTATCAGTAGTTCTTTTGTCAGCTGCTTAAAAACCTTTTTCACGGATTTGTGAATTACTTTCAAGTATAATTTATAGGAGCCCTGCCCTCTGGTTTAGTAGAACATGGCCCCTCCCCCAGTGGTGGCATTATTAACAATGCTGGTCATTTTTCCTCATAAAGACTCTCAGGATGGTAACCACTTCAATTAAAGTATAGCACATTTAAGTTTTGGGTTTTTTTTTTATGTTTTATTTTGGAAGTGTATCCTATGCTCTCATGAGTCTATGCAGTTTCTCAAAATATGCATAGAAGCTGAGTCTTATCCAATATGTTTTTATTAGTTACAATGAATTGATCACATAGATTGGGAAGGCAAGCCAAAGGCTTTAAATGTAAAGCCTTTTTTAAATGTAAAGTGCCCTTTTTATTTGGAATGATTTTATCGAGTTGAACACTAGTATTAAATATTTAACCTGCTGCTGACTTTTCTTAAACTGTGGCAACTAAAGGCATCCTCATGTATGTATGAATTAGTGAAATACTTGTCACTCTTACTGCACAGACTTATTTACGATTACAACAGGTTAATTTTTTGTTTGTTTTTAATGAAACTGGTACCATCTGTACCCTCACAGAAATTATCCAACACAGTTTTGAGAACTAAACTAACTAGTCATGTTTAATCAGATAATCCACACCAGGGCGGGGGGGCAGGGTTGGGGAAGGTCCTTTTTGAAACAAAATGTTACTCAATTATTAACCAAGTTACTTATTTTGATTTCAAAAGCAGCTGTGTTTCTGATGAGTACTGAACAAATGTGTGTAATTTTCTGTGCCAGACTTTTGACTTTGTTTTCAAGCACTGTAATGTGGGATGAATGGTTAGAAACAATAATATATTAGGGTTTCTATGTAACCCTTTCAGGACTGAACTGTATCTCCTTTTATTAATTTTTCCCTGTGTTGTGATAAATGTTCGCCAGCATTCAGTACTGTGTTGGTCCAGATGTAGATTTATATGCTCATTTTTAGCTTATTTCTTGTACCTTGCAGCATGCTCTACACATTCAGTCCTTAAGGGGTTTATTTTACAAACTGTGCGCCTGTAAGGTTTATTAGCAATAAGATAGAAAATTGAGCAAGTTTATACCATAATTTTGTAGAAAAAGGAATCTGCTCAGTTCCATATTTCATCCATGAGAAACCTGCAATATGGGCAGTTTCAAGAAATAAATAAAAAGGAAATGTAAACCATTGTAAAAGTCTTCTGTTGGATGTGCCTGATGCATGTGTTACCGTCTTTGATTTCAGAGTATTTCATAAAGATGATATCAAATTCTGTATTAGTTTGTGTATTTGCAGTCTTACCTTGCTGTCTAATCTACATCACATCAAAGTGATAGCCTTGCTGATTTTTTTACAATGTTTTTAAAAACTATGTAGTGCTTTAAAGAGAGTTTTGTTTGTTTGTTTGTTTTGGGGGGGGTTATTGTGTTTTCCTTCCTTATAAATGGGAAGATGGACTTTGTCACTCAGGGGGTATCTCAGGAACGTTTTGAGCTAATCTTAGCAAGATTAGAGAGCATTATTTAACAACAGCTTGCTTTTCCAGTATAAGGTTGTCATTTGGTCTGGTGTACGAAAGAACGTGTAATGGTTTGTGCTTTTTGGTGGAGGCTCCTAATCAGAGAGAGAGTATACTTTGTTTAATAGGGAAACAGAAAGTAAAAGGGGAAGTTATGTATCTTTTTAAATCAGCAAATTGATATATCTGACCTCCCCCAGAAAGAAAAAATAAGAGCAAAGTTATCAGGATTTTGCGAAAGATATCTTCCTCTAAAAGTAGTGACTGTTAAATAAGAAACATTTTAGTTGGAATTTGAATTGTGAGGCCTTTAACGGCAGAGATTGGCAATAGTTCCTTAATTTAGAATTTAGAAGAGAGTAATGTTTGTACCCCTTGCTGTAAACAGTGCATGATCACTTTCTAAGCAGTCTTAGGAAAGATGCATCATGTGTGTTTGTGTGTGTGTGTGTGTGGGGGGGGTCATTGAACCCCTAGATGGTTTCCAGTTAAAAATTCAGAGGGCAGCTACATCAGGTTCTAGTAGTGAGTGATGACAGAAGGAAGTCTTCTCAAAACAAACAAGCAAACAACCAAAATCTAGGAAGATACACTAAAGAAACCCTAAAAACCCCTGGTTTAGTGCTAGTAACAGTGAGGGCGACAGATTAAGTTGATGCATATAAAGTGTAAATGAGATGATTCACCTTGACCTATGTTAGACGCTAAATCTTAAGGCCAAGAGCTGGAACTGGACGTCACAGCCTGCCAGGACCTGCAAGACTGGACAGTTAAACACAGTTCTTGGTGCTAAGGATACGGTCATTTGTGTGCATGGTACACAGGTATTCAGTCAATAGTTTAAGGTGTTATGCACACGTATGTAAAAACCATGACTCATCTTGGTTTATAGAAAAGGCAGATAATTACTCTAATAACCAGAAAAGGGACAACGTTAACTATAACAAGAAACATGCTAAACAAATAGGTGATTTTACAGCTGTTGGAATTGATGGAATGTTTTACTTTGGGGAAGTGGTATTTTAAAATGTGGTATTCTATGGCACGTTTTTTAAAAGGTAAGTATGACTTTTAGTTGTGTGTCCAGTTCTTTCTAGCATAATCCATTGTAGTCCCTGCTTTCCACCTCCTTGTATTCCACTGCCCACTCACTTGCGCCAGTCAGACATTCGGGTCAGTCCTTCCCAGCACCTTGGCCTGGTTGATTTTCTCCTGTCCTTCCCAGCACCTTGGCCTGGTTGATTTTCTCCTGGTGCTGGACAAATTAGGGTCAGTTAAATCCCAAACTCTCAATCCAGAAACCCCCCTGATGTTCATGTAAAGGATTCGAGCGTGACGAGGTCATGCCCGGTGGCCTCTTGAGCTGTCTGGAACAGTGGTTCTTTCTTCCTAGAACTGAGTTTTCTCCCTGCAAGGTACTTCTCCTTCCTCGCCGCACGACACAAAGTGAGTGATTCTGGCTTTCTTCTTAAGGGCTCACAACTAAGTTCTTAATTCAGATAAATAGACAATACAATGAAAAATTTTGGAAAATAACCGTGACTTGGAGGACAATCATTGTGCCTTTAATCCCTGATTATTCTCGAGCGTCTAAGAGGTCCCCTGGGAATTTTAACATCGTCGTTAAGATTCCAAAGGTGCAGATGGTGTGATCTTTGGGAAGAACCTCAGGTGGAGGATAATGGAATACACATCTTACTTGCTTAGAAGCATGAATATCCATCCCTTTTATACCTGGGTAGTGCCAGAGGTTGGAATTAGTTGAGACTCAACCAGGAATTTTTAAATGGCGCATAATGTTTTGGTCTCTGAGCTCAGGAGGGCATGGCTGTTCCCTGAAAATTTTCACTGAGGGCTTGTCTTAGTGTGCTCAGGCTGCCATAATAAAATACCATAGACTGGGTAGATTTATCAACAGAACTTGATTTTCTCATGGACAGTTCTGAAGGTTGGAAGTCTGAGATCAAGATGCCAATATGGTCAGGTTCTGGAGAGGATGCTTACTGGTTTGCAGATGGCCACCTTCCTGCTGTGTGCCCTGCAGGTGTATCCTCACCTGACAGATCTCATCTCTTCCAAAGTCCTATCTGATTAGGGCGCCACCCTCATGACCTGACTTAGCCTTAATCATCTCCTAAAGGCCCATCTCCAGATACAGTTACATTGGGAGTTCGGGCTACAACATGAAATTTGAGGGAGGGAAACAATTCAGTCCATAACAGGACCCTTCCCCAAAACCTTCTAGATTACAGTTTATTGATGCCCGTCTACAGGATGGTATTTAGGTTTCCTGCACTTTAAGTCCTGGTTGGAGTTCTCACTAGTTAGCTAAGATGATAAAATGGACTTGGGCTGAGGGACAAGGGGAGACGCAAGACTGAGGTAGAAGTCACTTTAACCACTGTTAATTGTTTTATGGCCATTATTTTATCCTGACCACAACTCTGAGCTAACGTGCCTGTTTTAGAGATGAAGACACAGGCTCAGGGTTTGTCCAACGTCATCTGGTAAATTTAGCAGAGCTGGGATTCAGCTGTGGACACAGGTGGCCCAGAGTCACGCTTCTAAGTGCTACAGACTTCTCAAGTCACAAAGGAGCAGAGGCTGGGATTACTATGACAAGTTGTGTAAGGAACTTCATAGGGGACAGCCATTCTGTTTCCATTCTCAGTTTACAGTTGAGGAAAACCGAGCCCTAAGGAAGTTGAAAAACCTAAATGTGCTTATGGATTGGAAATGCTTTATTTGCTTGAAAGTACTATTTAATTGCCAGGTGTTTGCTTTCATTATTATTTTGGTGCCCTGACCTCTTGGTTAGTGCTTGTGGTCCTCCTAGCCAAGCCTTACACATAAATATGTGATAAATTACACAACTAGGGCGTGGGGGTACACATCAGTGGCAGACTGTGTGCTCAGCATGTGCAAGGACTTGGGTTCAATCCCCAGTACCTCCATTAAAACAAACAACAACAACAAAAGTGATTTTAAATTATACAACTCTAGAGAGAACCATCCTAGACACTCCAGAATATTTTCCATCTTCTGAGTGAAGATAATGGAGCTTCATCTCTTAATAGATCTGATAGTTAATTCTAACTCAGGTGAGTTTCTAGACCTCATATGTTGGCTTCAGGAAGACAAGAGTGTGAAATGATGACCTGAGGGTTAGATGCTCAAATCATAAACATCGTTGGGGTGGCTGATTCTGCAGGTCTCCACTACTCACTTGTCTCATTTGTAACGGAGTAAATGACACACAGCACTTAAGAGGAAGCACAAATGAAGAGCCCTCAGCTGTGGTCCTGGCTTTCTTCACCTTAGAGCCCGGGTCTCTGCTATGATTGTCAAGCTTGGGGGGCCCCTTGGCCTGGGTCTTCCAGAATCATTGTGAGCTTAGTCTGCGGGCTTTTGGCTGCTCATTCAAGAAAATATGGTGGATTTGCATTTAATACTTAAAAGATTTTTAAATGTACACGTTCAATGTGATAGCTATTATTAGAGTAACAAGAGTTAAGTCAGAAGCCAAGCCTGGTTAACTTAGGGAAAGGGATTTTGTAAGGAGAGCAGAAGCTCGCAGGATTGAGGGGAAGCCTGAATCATGCTTAGACACACAAGGAAGTTGGGTCCTGTAGGGTAGGGAGGGACCCTTGGATCCTGGAAGTCGTCTGCTCAGGGGGCCGCTGCTCTGATGCACTCCCTCTTGTCATTAAGTCAGCTGCTCCAGATTCAGTTTTGCAGATGAGAGCAACTGGTCGCGTGAGCCTAGGTCACTTGCCTGACCCTGTGCACTTAGAGGAAGGGTCATTTAAAAGGAACCTCAAGGGGCTCTTTGCTGTCCATAATGAGGCCTGGATTTAGAACCAATAGGAGAAGAGAGAATTTCCCTAAAGGGAAACTGAGGTAGCTAGGACAGGGGAATAGGTGCTGGGCAGCTGTTCCAGGTGGCTACAAATAATAACTTCTATAATAAAATGTGTTAAGAATCTATTCTGTGTGCTAAGGGCTTTACAAGAAATATTTCTTATATTCCTCAAATTCCTAAGTCAGTTTAACAGGCAGTTTTGTGAATGATGCTCAGATCATGAGCCAGTCATCAAAACCCCTCCCATCTCATCTAGCCTTCCAGACTTCCCTAGAAATGCCCCCTGGGATGGGCTCTCAGGGACTCACTACTACATGATTTTGTGTAAATTTAACAGGTTACTAGGGTCAGATGGGTAGGAATCTCCAACCACATCTGTAACAGTGTCGTGCAATTCATGTCTTCCTGGTGGAGGGACCGTCCCTTAGTATTTGGTTAGATTCCTGGCCTCTGCCCTTGACTCAATATTAATAACTTTGCTGAATTAATTTAGCTCTGCTCCCACCAGGAACTGCAGAAACAGTAACAAAGTCCTGCTTCATGGGGCTCTCCCGGTGGAGAGAGACAGGCAAAAATCAATGAATGCATACCTCATGTATGCTTACATATTAAAGGGCTCCTACTGAAAATGCCACCATCGAGAGCCCAGAGATGATGGAACCTGACCATCAAAAGTCCTCAGCAGCATCCAGGAGCATAAATGGGAGAATCACTGTGTCCCGGAGGTACTGAGTATGTTAACATTCAATATAAAAATCTGTAGTCTTTAAGGAGTACTTGGCCAGTCGTTTCAGGGGACGCTGTGCACACATCACAGTCACGTGCAGCTGTCTGAGGCTCTTGGGCTTGTCCCTGTTGTCTTTCCTGGGGCCGTGAGCTAACTGAGCAGGGTGAGG